AAATAACAAGGTCATAAATCGTTCGGCATATTGTATGTCAAAAGCGGCGGTAATTATGTTCACTAAGTGTATGGCCGTTGAGTTGGGAGGGAAAGGCATTCGTGTCAACTCTATTAGGTATGTATTTCTCGCTAAAAAATTAATAGTCACTAATTTTTGCATCTCATTGCCTACCAGTCCCGGGTCGGTGCGCACCTGTATGGCACAGAATAGCGGTATTAGCGATGAAGTACTCCGTAAGACATTCGGTACACTAATCAGTAAATACCCGGTCGGCCGGTGCGGTGAAGGGACAGACATTGCAAACGGTGTGGCCTTTCTAGCCAGTGACCATGCTAGTTTTGTAACCGGTAGTGATCTGGTGGTTGATGGTGGACATTTGGCTGCTGGACTATAAGTTGAATGAAGTGATCAATGTCAGTTAACAAGGATTAATAGTGTACAACAGTTGCTGTAATAAAGTAATTTAAAATTTTAATATAATTATTATATTACTAATAAATGTATATAAAAATTGTATACTTGTTGAAATAATCCAGATTTGTATTTAATATCTTATTAGCAAAATAAATTTTAAATACTGATAAAATTTAAATTTAAATAAATCCCTTTTCTAAACAAAACTTAGAAAATAAGTTTGAAGTGTTAGCACAGGTGTTGGAAATATTACAAACATTGCAAATATGAACACAATTAACAGACATATTAAACAAACCTTATTAATAAATATAAAGTGCAAATGATATTTTCATTTTGTTTTATATTGTATTTCAACTGAATTGTGAAGTAATAAGTAAAATGAAGAGTGATTTAAGGAAATGGTGTGAATGAAGTGATTTGTGTCAAAGTCTACACAAAATTCAGTCTGTTTTTTAATTTTTTTAAAGATTTTTATATTAACTATATTTCTATATTTTATATCCATAATCCCTGATATGAACACTACATTCAAAGCCTGGGATTTATATTTAACTGTGATTTCAAGCAGTAGATTAGCAAAGTCCTGTGATTTGAAATAAACATCTGTTTACTATAACCTACACTTAAACACCACAATATACACATGTATTGTATACCTGCATTTGAGGCATAGTTTTCTGCCATTACTACGAAAAAAAGTAATTTTTGAATATTTAAAAATACTTTTATATTTTTTCTGAATTTAACAATCATTCCAGAAATTGTTTGTGAAATGAAGTATTCGTTGAATAATTTGTGCGAATTTCGTAAATTGTGTCAAAGTTTAGATAAAATTCAGGGTTTTTTGTCACAAAATTCAAGTGTTTTGCGTGAAGGGATTGAATGCGAAAATGCAGTGAATTTGTCAATGAATTGCAATTCAATTGATTTGAATTCATGTAAAATAAGTGAAAAAATGTTTTCCAATCACAACAACATTAATACACTCAACACTTATCGATATTTCAAATGTTTTTGGCCTAAATGTGATTACAAGATTAACAATAAATGTGAATTAACTAGACACCAATTATATCATTTAAACAAAAAAACTTTTAAATGTGATTTTAATAATTGTAATCAACGTTATAATTCAAATTCAGATCTAATTAAACACAAAAACAGTGTTCATTTAAACGTGAGATATATATGCGATTGGAGTGAATGTCGCAAACAGTTTGCAGCAAAACATGAATTAAATGGACACAAAAGTAGTGTTCATTTGAATGAAAAGAGATTCAAATGTAATGAAGAAAATTGTGGCAAAAGTTTTTCTGTAAAGCCATCTCTCTTACGACACAAAGTCATACATTCGGGTGAAAAGCCATTTGTTTGTCATTTCGATGGATGCGGCAAATGTTTTGCAACAAAATCTGAATATAATTCACATAACAAAAGAAAATCGCACATAAAAAGTTAAAAATGTCCAATGTAGTTATAGTGATTGTGGTTCTAGGTTTTTCTCCCTACTGAATTAAAGTCACACATAAATTGCACGCATTTTAGTGCAAAGTCGTTCAAATGTACGGAAAATGATTGTATGAAAAGTTATTTATTATAAAACTATTATATTATACTTTATTATAGAATTAACTTTTATGTAATTAAACAGATTATGTAATAAACGAAAAAAGTCATTGATAATATTTTGTTATTATTTAAGAATTAATAACTGGTATATTTTTAAAATGAGCCAGCTAAACAACCGCCATCCACCACAAATATTGAGCCAGTAGAAAAACACGCGTATGAACTGGCTAAATATGCCACGGAATTGGCAATATCTAGTGGTTCCCCAATGCGACCGACTGGATATGAAAGAGCAAGGTGATTGCACCTAGCTTCATATTCGAAACTATTTTCCCAGTTGTGTAATGTAAATGCCGTGCGAACTACACTTGGGCTATACGAATATAAAACAAAATAAATGTTCATTGTACAATTGTTCAATGTATGTATAATGTATAATATTATGTACATTTTAAATGTGCTTGTTTTATAGGTAACAGTAGTATTGGTGGTGTTTTTAAAGACTGTAAATTAGGTTTTATTAATTTGTTTTCAGGTATATTACGATAATACAAACTAATAATTATGGCCTAATAATACATATACAAACTATACTAACTCAATAATTTTTATTTAAAGTTTCATGTTGTTATCATAAATACGATTTCTTATTTATATGAAACAAAAATCAAATTAACACAATCTAATAAACACAAATAAATTGACATAAATAACTGACCAGACACAGTTTACACGAATGCCTTTGTCAGCCAATTCTGTTGCCATACACTTTGTAAACATAATGATTGCCGCTTTAGCCATACAATAGACTGAGCTAGCTGTGTACTAAAGACATAATTATAAAGTATCAAAATTAATAAGCTTGCTAAATAATTGTATGCTAAATTAAATACCGATTGAATGCCCGTAACACTCGATATGTTAATTATATTGCCATTAGTTTTAGTCAAATGTTTAACCGATAAATGTGTTAACTTTATCACAGAATTCAGGTTCACATCAAATAAAGCCTTTTGTCGTTCAATGTAATCCGGGTCTGTTATCTTGGATATCAAACACACGCCGGCGTTATTGACCAAAATGTCTAACCGTCCGAACGTGTGGACAGTGGTGTCGACCAGTCGTTGAATGTCTCCCTCTATGCGGAAGTCTGTCACCACTTCCAGCGGTTTGTAAGCCATGGGCGACACCTGTGAGCACTCGTGCGCTACGCATGAGATGTCGTCCCCATTGAGACCACTGACCACTACTCGGGCACCGCTTCGAGCGAATAGTAAGGCTATGGCGGCGCCAATGCCTGAACTCGAGCCCGTGATTAGTACTACCTTTCCCTCAAAGTTGTATTTAATTGACATTATGTTGTGTTTCATAAAATGGATATCATATAATATACTGTAAAATTGTGCTAGTATTGATTTTACTAATATGATTCAATACAAATGTAAAATATTTTATAAAATATAATGAGTAAGCTATTTATTTTTAAAAATAATTCTTTAATAAACGTTAGAAATGAAATATAAATAACCGTACAGGTACACATTAAACATTATTTTACAGCAATTTAATGTGCTTGCTTTAAATGATTATTTAACTCGTATTTATATCTATAAGTTTTGTAACAATTTGTTTCATTACATTTCAGTAACTTTTCGCTCAAATGTATACGATTTCTATGTTTCCTTAACTCCCCGGTAGTGACAAACCCTTTCTCACAATCATTGCATTTATGGGGCTTTATATTCATATGTCTTTTCATATGTTTTTGTAGATCTGAGTTGTGTTCAAAACATTTGTCGCAATCGTTAAAATCACACATTAAATTTAATTTATTATTGCGCACAGGTGGTTTTTCTCCCGTGTGTACGCGTTTGTGATTATTTAAATTATTTTTTTGGGAAAACAATTTGCCACAATTATTTATATCACATTTAAAAGGCTTTTCCTTTAAATGAACGATTGATTTGTGTTTTTTCACTTCCCATTGTCGAGTAAACTGTTTGTGACATTCACTCCAATCGCATACATATCTTACATTTAAATGAACCCTATTTTTGTGATCATTTAAATGTGATTTAGATTTGCAAGATTTTTTACAATTATTGAAGTCACATTTAAATTGTTTATCAGTTGTTATGTTGAGTGTATTAATGGTGTTGTGATGGGAAAGCATTTTATCACTTATTTTACATGAATTCAAAT